ACAACGCACTAAAGAAGAAATGCGGGGAGAGAGATGACATGTTTAGGGTTTAGAATCTAATTCTTTTATTAAAGGAAATACATATTTATTTCTTATAATAAAAAATCAATAAATATGTAATAAATGACAGCTAAATAGAAATAAATCATAGAAGAAAAATAAGAACAAAATTGTATTTTTATGTCCGAAGGGATGAAGCGTACAACTTTTAACCAAACGATGCACGGTTCTAGTTAATTTTTGAAAATAGAGGTTAAACGTGTATTTTGGTACATCTACTTTAAAATTACATGTGATACTTACATAGAGCCCATAATATGAGATTTTGTAAACTTATTTGGGCATTTTTTTTAAACTTTATGTTAGTTTCAAGCTAGTAAAATGTTTTTTAATTATAAACATGTAAGCATTGTATGACAAATTCTTTATTTAAAATAAAAGTATTATAAAATGGCAACTAATAGTATTTTATCTGTACTTTAAGTCGTTAACTTCTAATAGTATTTTATAATATTTTTATCCTACCTTAACTTTTTTTTATAGGTGTTCGCTAAAAAAAAAACGCAAACAATGGGATTGGGATATGTGTATGTGTGTGGCCCCACACATACATCGAGGGTTATCTAAGATCCATTTTTTTAATTTGTAGGATATTTGGTGCTTAGAAGTCACATCCACTCTTTTCAGGAAATATGACTTATTAAGGTAATTAACTTTTTGGTAGGTTCACATCTGGGTAACTATCTTTTTTTGTATATATCTAGGTAACAAACTTTTTGGAAGTGTTCACATATGATCATTATGTGCTATAGCAGGTTAAATCCTAAATGTGAACGCTTTCAATAAGTTTGTTACTTAGATGTGTACAAAAAAAATAGTTACCCAAATATGAACAAAACGAAAATTAAAAATTAAATTACATGAATGGTCTCCGTGGTTTGGGGGAATTTGTGGTTTTGATCGCTATTTTTTTTAACTTAAATGGTCCCTACTGCTTATTTTTGTTGCGCGTTTGGTCCCCGTCTTACCTAAAAATATTATTGTGCCCTTATTAATTTATTTTTTTAATTAATTTTATTATCTATGTATTTATTTTTTACATATTTAAAAAAACTAATAAACCACACATATTTGTATCTCCTCGGATGATCTCTACTGTTTATTTTTAATTAATTTATTTTTTCTAACTCGGACGATCCTTACTGTTATTTTTGTTACGCGTTTGGTCTCTGTCTTATCTAAAAATACTATTTTTCTCTTATTAATTTTTTTAATTAATTTTCTTATTTATGTATTTATTTTTTATAAAAAAAAAATTAATATACCCCACATATATGTATATCATCACCGTAAACCTGAAACCACATTTGAGAAATTTAATTTGAATCTTACCATTCACCATCTCATCTTTGATCCTCCCAATCTTCTATTTCTTTTCCATCTTTAGTAACATCGACGTCTTCACCATCTTTTTTTTTGGTACTTCAACTCTGACGAACCAACACCATAACCTACTATCTCTTCATCTTTAGTGGGTTGTGGTGTTGATTCGACGGAGTTGAAGGACCGAAAAAAAAAGTGATGATGAAGACGTCGATATCACTAAAGATGAAAAATAAATAGAAGTTAAGAATGATGAAAGATGGGATGGTGAGGAGATACAGATATATGAGGTCTACTAATTTTTCTTAAACATATAAAGCATAAATACATAAACAAGAAAACTAATTGAAAAAAATTAATAAGGGCACAATAGTCTTTTTAGGTAAGACAGAGACCAAGTTCGTAACAAAATTAAATAGTAGGGACCATCCGAGTTAAAAAATTAAATTAATTAAAAAATAAATAGTAGGGATCATCCGACGAGATACAAATATGTGTAGTCTATTAATTTTTATAAATATGTAAAAAATAAATACATAGATAAGAAAAATAATTAAAAAAAAATAAATTAATAAGGGCACAATAGTATTTTTAGGTAAGACGGGGACCAAACGCGCAACAAAAATAAACAGTATGAACCATTTAAGTTAAAAAAATAAGTTAGCGACCAAAACAACAAATTCCCCCAAACCACAGGGACCATTCATGTAATTTAATTTTTACTTTTCGTTTTGTTCATATTTGGGTAACTATTTTTTTTTTTACACATCTAGGTAACAAACTTGTTGAAAGCGTTCACATATAGGATTTAACCTACTATAGCAGGTCATAATTGTCATATATGAACACTTCCAAAAAATTTGTTACCTACATATGTACAAAAAAAGATAGTTACCCAGATGTGAACATACCAAAAAGTTAATTACCTTAATAAATCATATTCCTACTCTTCCCAATAGTTGCACCTTTCTAGTGTGTAATGTTATGTGCATAAAGTGAATTTCTCTTCGGCACCTCGATCGGTTCATTGTTAGAATATTGATTTGATTACTGCATAAACAGTCCCGTTACTTTTGTCACATCACATGATTTCAATTGTTTTTATATCTTTTCTAAATTAATCCCTTTCACTTATATATAAATTACAAAACACACCCTTTTATTATCTATTTCAAATATATAGATGAAAACATAATCTTAAATCTTAATAATTATACGGTTGCAATGTTTACTTTTATTATTATATAGGCTAGTATTGGTTTATTTTCTTAAAAATATATATAGATCCGAAAAAAATAGATACGATTAGTCTTATATAAAATTTCAAAATAATATCAATTAAAACGTTAAGGCTCTGTATTTTATTTTTAGTATTACTATGTATCGTAGCATTTTCAGTAAATTTATTTTTCATCAAAATGTTAATAATATATTTTATTATTTTCAAAATTCATATTATTAACGACCGACCAATTTATAACTTTCCTAACCCATTGGTAACAACATTTATTTAAGTAAAATTAAGTAAATTAATCATAATTTAATGTGTATTAGAAAAACCTAAAAAATGACAAAAGAACCGCTATTAACTCGTTCTAGCAACATCTATTCAATTTAATAAATTAAAAATGGCAACTGGCATATATCATTGTAATAATCGTGTCAAAATGTGTGCCAATCAATCTATCCACAAAATGTAATATTACAAATTTATACCTTCAGTTTACATTGTAGTTTTAGAAAAGACCATAGATTTTTTTTTTTTTAATTTATATCTTAAACCCTTGAAACTTTATTAATTTTGAAAACTAACAGAAAGAAACATATTATTTAATCATAAAAGTTGTATAATTAAAATGATCTTATGAATATATTTACAAGAAGAGTAATACTGAATATTATTAAATACTAATAAAAAAAATAATTTGTTAAATAAGAAATATAAACTATGAAACATTAATAAAAAAAAAGGGATAAAAATAAAAATTTGGTTTCAATTTCTTTCTATATATAGACGATTGATATTTCTTATTTGTTAAACTGAAAACGACTTGCAATGTCATTTTGAAAAGTAACTTTCATTAAAAGCAAACCTAGAATATTTGTTATAAATATAGATTTTATTAAATGGTTGGGAAGAATGGATGAGTCACATATTATGAGATATTTGTATTTAACATTTCTTATTTTTTATTGTATTTTTGTTAAATTTATGTTTTTCTATGTCTTATGTTTAGAGATGTGATATTCATCCAATAGAGACTAATTTAGAGATGTGATATTCATCCTTAAGGGTATATTCACTTCTCCCATATATATATATATATATATATATATATATATATATATATATATATATAGAGAGAGAGAGAGAGAGAGAGAGAGAGATGTTCAAGACAAACCATTAAATAGTAAAATAAATAAAAGATAAACCTAAATTAGTAACTTTCATTGATTATTAAATGCCTTTAATTCCATAAAAAAATGAATAAAAAAAATAATTGTATGATGTTAATATCCTTGACGTTATCTTTTTTAACAATCGTAATTTAATATATTATTAATAATATTTTTTTTATTCTAATATAACAATACAAAAGATGTATGAATATTGAAAACGTAAAGGGCAAATTTTGAAAGTTTTGTAGAAGTAGGAGGGAAAGAATTGAAATATTAAATTATTACTACTTTTCACTCATAATGATTGATATATGATTGACCTTACTCCAGTTTCGTGTATTTAGAATTTTTATCGTGCATTTAGAATTACCCATAGATTTAACAAGGTTAGGATTATTATATATTTTACTGTCGATTTTTAAAGGTAAAGAAGAAGTTACGATCATAATGCCCTTTAAATAAGATCCAAACCCTAAAAATTAGGGTTTGGAATTTTCGTGAGTATGCCCAGTTTATTCATATGTATCCCCAGCGTATGCAAAAGAACCCGCATCACCTTTTAATGAACTACGCTCAGGTACGCCCCACATAAGGACTAAAATAGCCATACTTTTATACTTAAAGCCAAAATTTGAAAAGTTCCTAAAACACGGATGTTAAATATATTAATAGGATTTTTGAAATAATATTATACTACTATAATAAAACACCAAACATTAAATAAAATTCTGAAATATATTAATGAATTTATTATACAAATAGAAGGGCTATAAATGGAAATATATTTAAGTATAAACTGGTTTTTGAAAATTTATGTAGGATTTCGCTAAATTGAATGTAATCAATCAATGATCATTGGTGCCAATGGAAAATGTTTCGTGTATTGAGAATCTCCCTATATTGAAACCAAAAGTTTTGGAAATTTGATAAGCATCATGGAATGTTATAGAAAACGAAATATTCTTTGAATATTAATTTGGTCCATCTTCAAACTTAATTTTATCGTTCCTCTCATGTTCGAGAGCCTCTACAGTGCCATATATGTTTGATTGCAAAATGTTCTTCAATTTCCAAATTGATGCAAAAGTAACACAGTAGCATATAAGTAATTAATTCACACGTACCTCACCCGCCCAACAAATTAACCTTTTAATCAGTTATTAACTAGAAAAGCATTAACATTCTTTAATACTATATAATATTTGAAACTTTATAATTCAATGCAACCAATGGCGGATCTTGGCCTTGACACCCTTCTCCTTTATGGTATCTAAACTAGGCTTCCATGAACCTTTCCCAGACAACTGCCTGCTCAAATAATAATCAGCCCTCCCTTCGGAATCCATCTCCCCCAAATCCAATAACCGGCCAGCCGGTTTAACCATCACCGCTAGCGCTGATAATTTGTCTTGTTTCTCCTTTTTCTTGCTACTCTTGATCACAGCAGCAGGACACATCCTAGCAAACAACGGCAGAAAGCCAGTGTAAGCAGCCACAAAGGAATCGGAATTCAGAAGCGTATTAGCCCTCAGGAGAAGTTCTTCAGATGACATTGCCCCAACCGGCTTCCCTCTCCTCATTGGCAGCATCATGTAGACTCTGTTGTTCTCCAGCTTCGTGTCTGCAGGCAACGGTTTCAGGTTTCTTCCGTTGGTGAGCGTTTGAAACTCCACCACCAGTTGCTGTGGGTGGTCTAACATGAGCTCAGCCACGGTCACTGGTTTGGTGTATTCTTCGACTGTCCCATCTGGAAGTATGACCCTCCCAGCTGAGCCTGAGCCTTGAGAGATGTGGTTTCCCATAGCAAACAAGTTGATCGGAAGTAATATATATATATATATATATATAATATTGTTACAATTAACTTTTTAATAATTCAAACTGCCAAGTAAATGCATGGTTGGCCTGGTTGTGGATTTATTATAAATGGAAAGCAAGTGTTAGTTAAACCGCTCCATCTAGTACCGGTAGAAGTGGACTTGGTGAATGACTAAACTACATTTAGCGGATTGACTGATGACGTACGTGTGTGTGTGTGTGTTGCAACGGTGTTACCTAGATACGTTCTTGGGTCTAACCTAACCCAACCAAAATCCCAGGTCAATCATTATTAATTGATTTTCCATATTCCGTTATATAAGTTTATGATGCTATATATCTTTTTTCTTCCCGTTACTTCACTTGCTTCACCTGTACATAACAATTGTTAGCAGCATTCCACCGATATTTTCCGAACATTAGCTTGTGCCGATCAAATCAATCATTTTAGAGTCAAAAGTCTTCAAATTTTTTGATAAGAGATATATACTAACAAGTAGGTTGTTGTGTCTACATCATAAATTACCACCTCCAATCCATCATTCCATACGAAATATAATCATATTTGTAAAATCTCTATTATATTATTACGAAGTTAGTTTTAGTAGAAAATCAATAGACATAGTAGTGGTGGACATAGAAAGAAATATTAGGGGTTCTATAATTTTTTTTTTTTTTTTTTAAATATTGTACTTTTAAAAAAATCTAATTTTCGAAGGCATTTTCTGTTACATCCGTCGCTAAAAATGTTTCACCGACAAATTTACACTAAACTTACACTTATTAATTATTTGTGACGAAACGGATTTGTGGTGAATTTAATTAGGGGTCTGTCAAATCGGACCGTCGTGTCGTGTTTTTGTCTGACACGGCACGACACGACAAAGTTTTTTGCAACACGAACACGACACGACACGATATCGTGTTTTTTTTCACTAATACGAAAACAAACCAATTAAAAAATGACAACACGACACGACACGATAAAGATAATATTACATAACTATTATTTTATTTAATTCATATTTAATCATATATAACCCGATAAAAACGACAAACACAAAAAACACGATAAACACATGCTCAATCGTGTCAATTTCATGTGGATTTGTAAACATGACATCGTGTTTTTTAAACTTGACACGAACACGATACGAAAACGAATTCGAATTTTGATTTCATCCCGATTTCGTTTCGTGTCGTGTATTTTTGTGGTGTCGTGTCATAAATTGACACCCCTAAATTTAATAGATTTTGACAATATATTTTAAATTTTGCACTTGAAGGTAAAATTTAAAGAATAATAAAAAATATATTATATTATTATTATTATATATTTTACTTAACTAACTATTAATATATCTTTAAATAAGTTATCAAGGAATATTTTTTATATATGCAAGGGACGTATGTACATGTGTGTAAAGTTTATGAGCGGCGTTGAGTGAGGGTAAAGTAGACAGTATGTACATGTGTAAAGTTTATGAGCGGCGTTGAGTGAGGGTAAAGTAGACAGTTGTATACGGCTTAATTTTTTTATTATATATTTTTATTTAAAAATAAAAAAGTATAATAAAAATAAGGGTTGTTTTTCTTGTTCGTCATGAACATTTGACAATATTTAATTTTTCAGGATCGAATCTATCTGATAAAATTTATTTGTTTGATTTTATTATATTCACTAGGTTAAAACCCGTGGAAACTACGAGTTAGAAAAAATACTATTAATAATTGTAAATCGTAAATTCTATTATGATCGATAATCAAAGATATTGCAAGTCTTTAAGTAATATAGTTTAGAGGATTACAATTTTATATTCTAACAAAGATAAACAATATTTTGTAATTTTATATTCCAAAAATGATAAACATAAGAAAAGGAAAAGAAAGATGAAGAATGTCTGTGTAGCTGTTGTAAATGTCTTTATAGTTATGATTTTATTAATGATAAAATAAAAATAGTTAGATTTAAAAAAGTGGTTAAGGAGTTATTGAAATAAATTGATAATTAACCTTAAAGATGGTATATATTCGATTGAGTGATAATAATCACTTAAAAAAACACATCAAAATTTAAATATCGATAAAAATCGAGGAAATTAATGTTGCAATTATATCTTCTACAAAGATAAACACAAGAAAAGAAAAGAAAAAGAAAAGACAAGAAAAGAAAAGAAAAGAAAAGGGGGAGAAGGTGTGACAAAAGGAAGCATGAAGTCGGTCATTGTAGACAAATCCAGCATCTCTTCTACTCTACACAGGTTCTTCAAATCTTGCTCTAAATTCAAGTTTTTGTCGTTAATTTCACCATTTACAACTTACAAATCACTTAGTTTGCTCTCCAGTTGGTCGTATCCCGAAAATCACTGCTGGTGGTTAGTCGTTTTGATCCTAATCCGTTTTACAAGGTCGGTGAAGTCAACCCCTTCGTTGTAAGTTCTAAAACTCACTTCCAATAAGCAAAATGAATTCAATCGTTGTATTTTGCTCAAGTATCTACTATAATATAGGGTTTGATTTTGTTACTTCACTTGCTTAATCGGTAACTAATTTTTCATTGAGAATGAAGTTGAGTACAATTTTGTGAAATGACTTTCATTTCATTTGTCTGGTTGACCATATAGTGTGGATTTAGTTTTTGTTCTGATTTAGTCTACGTTCTCAAGCTTGATATCAACAACTTGCTTTGTTTATGGTGGAATTGAGATTTAATTTTTCAACATATTGATATGGAGTTGATTTGTGAGATTGATTAATCCGTACGCTTCAAAATGGGAATTTGTTTGTTATACGATTTCAAGTACTTTACATATTCCACTTATGCACAAAACTTTTTTTTTTTAATTTTTTTCGATTGAGGAATGTTAAAAATCACTACTAAAAATCTGCATAATTAGCAGTTAATTATGTTAGGATCTTAACTCACGAGGAAACTATAAATCAAAGAGACAATTATTCCATTGGTCTAGAAATATTAGAAGGTTGTTGAGTTGATACAACTGTTACCATTTATTTATACTCATAATTTTACATAAACAGGAATAGTGATCTAGGGATAAAGGTACAGGTAAGACAAATCATACTGGAGGTTCATTATACACATCAGTAAGTCTAAGGACTTTTTATTTTTTTATAGTACTTATAATCATTATATATTAACTTTTCATTATGGTTTTTTATTATTATTTATATAGGTATGTAAAATTCTTTTACTTTAAATGTTTGTGTAATTTTAACTTGATTTTGCAGAGTGTTCGTTATGCTTCAAACTCTCAACTATCATCTCTTCCTCATGAACCAACAGATCGACAAAAGTGCCCCACATTCCTCTTGATTCAGTTGCAGTGAGTTCAAGTATTAGAGCTTATTAAATCGAGTCCTTTAGTTATTACATAAATTAAGGTTTCCTTACTTTTGATTGACTGTAAATGTTATTAACGAAAAATGGACTGAACATTTAAAAAAAATTCACATGCTCGAATTTACCCCTTCCAATCATAAATTTAAAGAACAAAGCTAAAATTGGTAAAATTGAAAAAAAAAAAACTTATCAATAGGGATTTGAAAGCTATAATATTACTATTTGTCAGACAATGAAAATACATAAACTTTTTTGAACTATTTTTCATTTATTTTCGGGAATGGTCATTCAAAGTAGAATGGTTTAATAAGAACAAAGTTAAGAAATCGGTTTTTTTGAAAGTACAATGCTATTTTCTTAATATGATACAAAGTTTGTTGTCTATTTTATGTTTTTCTAGAAAATAGTTTGAAACACAACACAATAGAAACATACACTACACACATACACTAACATATATTAAGCATATTTTTGTTTTTGACTGAGAAATAGAAGATGAACAAATTACATATAAAATACACAGGAAATGATTAATCTAAGTACAAAGAAAACTAACCTGTTATTTGTTGTATATGATGCAGGGATGAAGACATGTACATTGGAGCTCTGTAAAATAAGATTTTAAGGGATGAAGTTGGTAAATTTTTAAAATTTAATTAATTTATCCCAAATAAGTAGCACTCGCATATATGTTTTTTCGGATTATAAGGGACTGATACTGTAATGGCCATAAAATTCGAGCCAAATTAAAACATTTTAATTAATTCAAAAACCATTAAGTTCATACATTTGTTTTCAAAATAGGTTAAACATCAGAGTATTTCCCCAGAACCATATCACATAAATCATAAAACATGAGGAGCGGTACGATCACGCCTTCGCCTTGCCACGATCTCCTGAAGTACCTGAAACAAAACACCGAACTGTAAGCCCGAAAGCTTAGTGAGTTACCCCCAAAATACCAACCACCCACAACATACTCATAATATAACGCAAATAGAAAAAACCATGCACATCGGGTCTACTGTGCGACTGATCTGCCCGCACCGGGCCTTCAGTCCACCTGGTCCACCCTCCGAGTCTAGCCATGTACATTGAGTCTACAGTGTGATTGGTCCGCCCGCACCGAACCTTCAATCCACATGGATCTATCCCGAGCCTTCGGTATGACAGGACCGCCATACTGGCCTACAATCTATCCGGACCGCTCGTAGGGTATGTTGGCCTTCAGCACAAAGCAGGACCGCCTCAACCCAAGCATCAAGCAAATAACCATGTACACATATAACAGGTAATCACATAACAATCCATAGACAAATAAATCGATCTAACAGATCATGAAGCATAGCAATCATCCTAACCATGATACCGACCTAACCGGCCACTAATATAGCATTATCCTATATACCAGGATACCGACCTAAACCAGGTCACTTTACATAATGTTGTCCTAATTACCAGGACGCCGATCTAAATAGATCCATAAGCATATCAAACAGTACATGTACATATATCAGATATAACTATCTCACGGATCATCGATCATTGTAATCTCTCATAACCAAAACACCGACCTAACCACGTCACTAACATACCAATCCTAATGGATCATAAGAGCATGAC